AAAAAAAATAAGACTATGTATCTGAGTACCACTATAATTATTATGTTTTAAAAAGTGTTCTTCGAGCAAAAGTGTCAACCAGAGAACAACTGAACACAGACCAAGTCAGAGGCACAGATGGGGTAGGAGCAGAACCCCAAGCCACAACTCTCCTTGCCCCGAGGAGCATCTTCCCTAGTGGCTATGACATCCCATACTGTTTGCTCTCCTGTGCCCCACATCCCCCTGGCTCACTTGAGTTTTGGGGTTTGTTTTTTTTTTTTTTTTTTCCCCTGCAAGTTTTGTGTAACATTTAGGCGTCAGCAAGGTTAGCAGCTATGCAGGAAATAGAGTTTCTAACTTGTCTACATTTTGCAACTGGAACAAAAGATTGAATTTACTTTGTTTCTTTGAGAAATCTCCCCTGCTTTCAGCTACCTTTACAATATATTTTGAAGTGCACTATTCTGCATAGCTCTCTTTTCCCAAGTGTCTTTACAGTCCTCAGTGACCTATTTAAGTTAGGAAGATAAGTTAATATGGAAATAAAAGGAGGCTGCAAACTAGAGAATGTAAAAGTATCTTTGAGGAAGGGGGGAGGGGGAGAAAAAAAAAGATAATTGTTTCTCCACTTGTAAATAGAAATAGAGAAGCTTGCTCATACAATGTGTCTCCCTCCAGATGAGATAAGACAGTGGGATTGCTGAGGCTTGCGCGGTTTGGAGCACTGCCCTTATGGAGCACACACCACTTGTGAATCCCGTGCAAGCCTACAAATGATGAGAAAGATAGTCTAAAAATCAAATGAATTATAGCTGGTATATTAAAACCAGAAAACATTTCTTACCTGTAAATCTTCACGTTCTTCATCTGCAAGAATTTGATTAATTAATATTAAAGTGAGCTAAAGAACACAGACTTGACATCCATGGTAAACTGGTGTAGGAATAAAGACAAGTCCAAGTATCTCCCCACATTTTGAAATGAAAGATATTCTATTTTGCATACGTTTTAAACAGGAAAAAAATAATCAATACTCATCCACTTTTTTTTTTAAGAACTGTATGAAAATTAATTAGGTTTATGAATAATCCTATATACAAGCAGCATTTTCATATCTTTTTTTAAGACAGCAGCTGACAAAGTCTTAGATTTTATGCAATTATTGATTTATGCTGTGAACTCTCTGTGGACCAAAAAAAGTTTAACGGCTGTATTACAGTAGCACCCAGAGACCTCCAACTGCAGGCAGACAGACAGTTTGCTAGGGAGTCTGAATACACCTAGAAAAAAAGACTAGATGTTCTGGAGCAGCAACGATCTAGCCGCACCAGAAAGCGTATGAGGGAAGGGGTATGTTGACTTCTGCTTTTAAAGTGTGGATTGGGTTTTTGCCTTGTTCCTCTCCACATACCTTTTGCTACACAAAACAACTCTTGTATGGCAGTGTTTAAAAGACTAGAGTTCTAGGAGAAGTCTTTCATTTTACTTTCCACAGCGTAAGGACCTTAAATCATTCGCCGTAGCAGTCTAGCATGAAACTACAACAGAGCGCAGATCAGCTTCCTCCGATTGAGTGTCTCAAACTAAAGTACAGTGACAGAAAGCAGCTGCTAGGATGTACCTTTGTCTTCTTATGCTTCCCAGGACTAGCAACAGTTGAAAACTAGTATCCAAACAAATCTCTGGACAAAGACCAAAAGGGCTACTGGTGGTGGAGCGAGTCCAAGGATGATTCAGAGTGATCTGCACCCCATAGTCACAAGAAAAGTGATTGTTCTAAAACTCAGGGCTTTTTCTCAGGCTTTTGTTCACAGGGTGCAAATGTTTTTTTGTTTTTTCATTGTTGTTGGTTTTTTTAAATGAAGTCGAGCTGATTATAAAACAGGCCTTTGTACAAGCCCAACAAGTGCTACAACTAAATGACACACAACTTTCCAGTACAAGTTCTTTATCCTGCAAGTTGCTAGCTATGTCCAAGGAGGCTGCTGAGCAATCTCAGCTGCCACGAACATCAGCAAGGGAGGAAGGCTACTACGAACTTCAGAGGAAGAGCTTAGAGCACTGCAGCATTGGAACTTTGATCACTGAATTGCAAGTAATTAACTTAGAGGTAAGCATTAAAATTAGAGAGAGCTTCCATGCAATTATTTTAATGCAAATTTAGGAAAGGTGCATACACTTCTATTAGTGGAGAAGCTGCCTAGTCTGTGAAAGAACTCCTTTCCCTCTAAAAGTGCATGCTTAGTAACCACCACCAAACCAACCTGTATGTTTGTGTCATGCAGTTACGAGCAGTAAAAACACTGCATGTGAACAGTCAGAATCAAGACAATCACAGTATCTATGTGGGTCATTTGGCAGTGCTCTCTCGGTTCACCTGTTCTTAGAACAGTCAGATTTTCAAGAGATACAGGTTTTCATACATCAAAAAAAAAGAGAGAAAAAACATTTTAGAATATCCCCCCCCCCCCCAAACTTTCCTCATCTTTATATTGATATTTCTGGGTTTACAAGTGGTTGTTTTCTGTTTGTTTGTTTTAAATAAGCAAAATGTAGAGATCCGAAAACACAAGTTTCTGGCCTCCCCTTTAAGAATTTGTGTTTCTACCTCCCCCAAGAGATACTTTTGAGCCTGTTCTTGAGATTTTAGTCCATATATTACAAATTCAAGTATGCCAACACGCAATCCTCCTCTCCCATTTAAAGTTTTTGTTAGTACTGTGGATCTAATTTTCTTCACATTAGATAAAAACTCATCTGAAAACCAAGTGATCCAAAATACTCTTTTTCCAGAGAGCTTAACATACAGGAGCTCACAATTTACCTGCAACATCAGTATCTGTGGTTAGCAGGCAGGGATTTAAAACACAGCAAGTTCAAAGCACCCACTGACTTCAGAAACCCAGTCTAAGACACCTAACTTTTCACAATAGTTTTTGCAGGACTTTGTATTTTCCAACTTCACACACTCTCTGCTTTATTGATTCTAATTACAACTGCAAAGGCCGAGAACTCTTCCAAGTCAGCCTTCAAAGTACATCAGCATGAACGCTCAAAGAGAAATATCAGCAGTGAGCACTGTTGAGGACTGTACTTTAAACAATTTTCCAGGTTTCCCTCCATAGTAGAAATTGAAATAACGTCCATCTAAGGGGGCATATTAAAGGCTTTGATACTGTCCTCCTGCAAGCAGCCTTCCTTTGTTTGAATCTCAGGGCACATCAAGAAAACCAATGCCTATGCATTGAATATGCAGGGTTTCTGTGGAAAAAGATGTCATGTCATAATGAAAACCTTGGTTTGACCTCCCGTGCACATGCTTTTGAAAGTTGTTCAGCCTAAATCTAACATTTCTTGAGTATCTGACTTTGCAACTTTAAGAGCATTCCTTTAACAACCTGCATCCATGCTTATTTCCTTAGAAGTCAATCAACAAATATCTTCACAACGCAAATTCACATTGATCCTTGCACAAACCATCTTGGATCAGAATGCAAGTCTGGTAACTTATGCAGGGAGTGACTGAAAGATCACAAGCTGGTTACTCGGCACCATAAGGTGGTCACTAAGGTGACCAAATAGCACAGAAGGCTGAGACATACTGCCACTAGATTCTCACCTAAAGGCTTTGAGGTTTCATTTCTGTGCTCTTGGGAAAGCCTACTTTGCATGTGCCACTCCACTTTAGCCCCTTCAGTCCTATCCCCCTTCATCTTGTTCATGGCAGAGCCCAATTTGTTTGGGGTGGGGTTTTTTGGGTTTGTTTTTTTTATTTTTTTTACCCAGAACTCTTATTCCTAATTTTATCCAGCACCGCCCTAGCAGTTTCTGCTGTCCGTGCCATCAGACCTAGCTGCTACAGCCTTACCCATGTTCCTAGTCAGTCTGATTCCCTCTCCCCTCCATACTCCCAGCATCCATTGTTAGGTTACACATCTGGTCTGAGAATCTCCCCACTCTGAAGGGAGAGAGACAATGACTGGAATAGGCTTGGCAAGAAAACACTGTCCCATCCACCTCTAGGAGCAACTATCTGCATCAGATGAGAAGTACAGTTCCCCTCCACCTGTCTCAAGTCCCAGCTTCCCACACCTTTGTACACCGTCTCCTTACTTTCCTTACTTTCATTACTGGACCCAGACTCTAGCCCAGCCCACAAAAATTCAGAAATACAGGGACAGTATCACATACAGTGGGGAAAAAAAACCAACAGATTTTTAGCTCAGTTTAGTTTGTACATATACAAATAAGAGTTTGCAGAACCTTATACCACAGCCAAACATGGGCAGATTTCAATGCACATTCCTGTCAAAGATCAGCTCTCAGTAAAGTTTCAAGCCCTCGAATTCCACACCACAGCTGTCTTCTGAGAGGCACCACACTTTACATCTGCATCATGCAAATTCAAGTTCTCTTTAGCAAAGCATAAACCATTGCGCAGCTCCTGTGGGAAATTTTAGTCAAAACAACTCCAGTTGGCATAAAAACTTGAAAGCTTCAATCTGTATGAAAAGATGTGAGATGAGGGTCATTTTATTCTGCACAATACTTTATATAATAATGGGACTAGGAACATCTTTTTACAACAAATATCATTGACTGCAATGATTAATTTTAGTTTAGTTACTCGCTTAAGCTTTTTTTCATCCCTGCTTTAAAGTATCACTTCTGCACTTCCACAAGCATGCGGTAGATAGCTAAAAATTACCCTCAACATTTTACAGTATTGAGAGCTTATTTATATTACATCTAATGTAAAATCACATTGATAACACTAGCAACTGAAGACTAATATTTTAACAAAAAGCTTCCAGGCTCCCCAGAATTACTTTAATACAGATTTGTCAAGCAAAGATTAAGCAACAGCAATTCATGTGATTTAGGGTCACAGCATTGGCTAGACTATAGTTCCTTTTCAAAGGAATGTTATGAGAACTTAAAAATTTGTTAAAATGTGTAGATACTTTCCTAGAAAAAACTGAAAGACTAAAGGGTGCATGATGAAAAAAAATAAAATCTTTATTGAAAGACTGTAGTACCAAGTTTAAAAATACTAAGATTTAAAAAAAAACAAACAAAACTTATAATTAAGATTCTCCATAACAATTCCATCTACTTTACAAATACACTGATGTGTGCAAAACTCTTGAATTTTTAATTAGAAAAATATCTCATACAGCTGAAACTCACGTGCGATGACATATGCTTGGTACTGTCTTCTGCCAGAGATCAAATGGCCTGTGCTGTTTATTAAAGTTGAGGCAAGTTTTCGTAACGAGAGATGCATTTCTCAACATGAGGCAGAAAAATACCTTTCTGTAATTTCTTTTTTTAAACTTTATATAGAATAGATAAGAGAATTCAAAAGTGCTGAACAAGAACAGATGTAATCGCTCCCAGAGGCAACAAGCATTCAGTTACTACAGCCTGCCATTTTAGTGACGTGTGTAACTCGGGGATCACCAGCCGCCAGAGCTGTCAGAGCCCCCTCGTGGACACGAAATACGTGCTAATCGGAGCTTTTCTTGCCTCACTGCAACTGCACGTTCGTAAAACAAGCTAAGCCAACAAAAGCACTCCTGTCATCGTAGCTATACCCAGAGTATGCCAGTAGAACTTAACTGGGGCACAAGATTCTTTCTTACGGGCAGAGTGTGCCCTGGGGTTTTCCCACAATTACAAAACAGCAGAAGGCATTTCCAGCATTTTAAGTAAATTACAATTTGTACGAATTACCATACCAATTTAAACCAGAACCTCGGGACCCTGTTTCTGCAACACTGGTCAAAAGTGAATGCACAGGAAGGAAAGAACAGGACATGCATATAGTTATATATATAATCCCAGTCCCTATCTTTCTATGGCTCAAGACTTGATCCAATAACCGTATCTTTGAATTTAGCAGATCGATTTTACTTTCTTGAGTTTGTCCAGTCTTTTTTCAGGCCCATGAAAGATTTTGGCATTCATAACTCCTGGGTGAAAAGGAGCAAGAGGTGTTTTCATTAGAGGTAACATTTCTCAGCTCTGCATATAAGTTAGATGTATATAAAATTATGCTTCCTCTGTAATACTGAAGGACTCAAGCATCACTACCATCTGCAAATAAGGAACAAGGGTTTAAACAGACTCTGGTCAGGCAGAACAGTTGCAAGAAGCTTGCTTATCCCCAAGAATAATCCTGCTCCTCAATTACAAAGGCCATACTACATGGTCCTTGCTCCAGGACAGCTTCAGAATTCACAAAGCAGAGTGTTACTACAAAGAGGCATATACTGAGATCAGTATCATTAAGAAGCAAGCCTGAAGTCTAAAGAGTGTCTTGTTTAAAGTTCCACATTCAAGCTTGAACATGATCTTCCATTCTATTTGTTAAATGTGGGGCTCAGACATTTTTCCTTTGGTTATTAGCATGACCTCTCTCTGCTGAAGGCATCCTTACATGATCTAAGGCAAATAACTGCCTTAGATCATGTAGGTCACCCATCAGTTAAACCGACTTACATCATTTTGTACCTATTCTTCATCTCTCATTTATGAAATGGACTGTTGTATTTTAAAGCTAATGCAAACACCCTCTCGGGAATACACTATAAATCCATGAATATTGTTTAATTACCCATCTAGTTGAGAAACAAACTTGCTTATAGGTCTCCAGGTTAGATCCAAAACAGGATATTAGATACAGTTCAGATTCCAAAATATCGATTTCCCATGGGACCTGAGTTTCCACACCAGTAAAACCCCCATAGCACTTCTCATTTCTGCTGCTTGTTGCGCAGCTTTTTCAAACTAGCACATCTTCAAAATATGCAGGAACTTTTCACAGACATTTCTTCAGCATTCACAATTTAGGCACCCCACACAAATTTTAACTGTGCAGTCCAGAACTTTAGGCACATTCAGAACATTCTTAATGCTCTCAGAACTGAGGATATGTTGGCACTGCCAGATGTTGCCTTGATGGTATGCTGAAATTATTTACCTGGCGTGCAGAACAGCTGGAGCTGAAGCCATCCCACTAAAAAGCTTCAAGACACAATAAAACCACCTAAGTAGAGCTCAATTGTTAAGGCGCAGTAAGGGACTTCATTTCCAGGCACTATCACAAGTCAGAGAGACACACAGATATCGGACGTGGACACAAAGAGGTGTCCTGTTCCGATAAGCTGAAATGAGACTTCTCTTCTGATCTTTCTCACCAGCTAATTTAGCCCTCCCCTTTTTAAAAACCAACCAAACAAAAAACTTTCTGCTGACAGTATCACATTCTTAGATGTCTAGCTTCTTGTGCACTGTTTAAAAATCTTAAACCACCAATTCATAACTAGTAATTCTGTTCAGCAGCAGAATGCCTGGAAGTAGCCTAATTTGTGACTAACTGTGAGCATTTAAGCCCTGCGGTTTGAATACTGGCACTTTCATTACTGCTTTCAAAATGAGGTGATAGGTCTTCTAACAGGAACATCAGCAAAATGTCAGGAGCCTTATGGGAGTCCCATTAATATTTCTTCTGAACAGATGATTTAAATCATTATCTGGAAAATACAAGAAGTTTCACTTAGACTGATAGAAGACTGGACCAGGTAACAAATAATTATCTCTGTTTCTAGGGTGTGCGTGAGCTAATTGTTCTAAGCCTAATTAGTAGGGAAAAATGTTTATCCACTAATAGAGTGCTGCATATTGCATAATCCAAAAGCACTTGACCATACTAAATATTTTATTAAAAAGCATTCTGTTAAGCTTAATATTCTCTCACAGGCCTATCTCATAAAACTACAGTGAATAACTATAAATTCAGGTACTTTTATTTAACTCAGTACACAGACTGCAGAGATACTTTCTAACATTTATAGCAGTTTTTCAGTGTTCAGCAGATGTTACTCTATTTGCTAAACAATATCAGACTGCAAAATTGCTCTTACTGTTGATAGATCAATAATGACATGGGATAAGTCATTATCTCCGTGGCAACAGAATTATAACTGTTAGAGGAATATTGCGCATGTTGCTGCTGTGACTCTTAACAGGCATGCCTCGGCTTCCTCACACAGGTGCTCTCTCTGCAAGCCTGGTATGCCCAGAGTACTAACAACCAAGGGCATCTCTTGGACTACAGAGGATCAAACTACAGCTGTGGTTATGTTATTCTGGAAGGAGCATATCCTTATAAGGGTTTATTACACTTCAGTTTGATGTCCTTATTTCATTTATAATTTCTAATGAACCATCTCCTTGTAGAAATAGCTAGAATGAAATTCAGGAAGGCAAATACTACAAAGTTCTGTTCATAGCCCAACATTTTTTTGAAAGAAGACATTTAGTTGCCTTTAAGAATAGAAAGATCTCTTTCTTTTTACTCAATTTTCATTTAATTCCCCTCTGTCTCCCCAGGGTCTTAAAGCAGCAGGAGTCTTTCTGCTAGATTAAAACGACAAACTAGACCACTTGGGCTATTACACTGAACACTTGTTAAGCCTCTGTCTCTGTGTATCGTACCAGTTCAACAAAGAGAAAAACATATTTTTGCTTTGCAGAATTTACTGAAATTTTATCTAGCATGAACTGGATGCTATTTTTTTTTTTCCCCACGTTGCACAACCTTGCACCATGTTAATCACAACATAAAAGCAATTAACAGAAAGCAATTAACTTTTCTGTGTTTTGATCAGCATGACTGTGCCTGGCTTCTGACGCTCTGCTGAAAACAAAACATACTGACACACAAAATGCACAATGTTCATCAACAAAACGTGAACTTTGCCTTTAGAGTCATAATAGAAAGTATTTCTTCATAAATACATATACTTTCAAACACTGCAGCAACACTTTTTTTATTCATCAGCTGTTCACATGGGATGACAAACCGCAAGTTTGCCACAATTCCCTTTGCAATGTGTTCTAGTTAAATTTAAATAAAAGGCAACAAAAGTGATGCCTGAAGATGGTTTCATAGCAAATGAAAAACGAGTTGTTATTCAAGCATCAACTGGATTCCACGAAAATCAAGAACTAGCAAACAGTCTTCTGAATGCTGAAAACAAGCTGGTCTTGTCTGTGAAGCTCTCACATGAGTAGAACTGGGTGGAAAAAAATTATTTTCCTTACAAATGGAAGTAATACAAATGTCCATTAATATACCAAAAGTCCAGGTGCCAGAGATGCAATGTAAATTAACACTCACTTTGATTTGTTATTCGTGAGAGACCGTGGTTTAGTACAGAGGAAAACTTTGCGACACTTTCTTCTACTTACAGGATGGATCTGGCTGCTGTAGGAAACCTCCATGCTCTGCTCCAAGTTCTTGGAAAGAATCCGGCATCTGCCCAGGAGCTCAAGTGAAGTTGGCTACACACACGGCCTTTTCCAGGACACGTTCTAAATTCGGTACTTCTCTGGCTGATGCAGGGCAGTTCTGCGCGTCTTCCAGCACCGACTGAACCAACCCTTTCGCACACTTGGCCAGCCAGCCCAATCTTGCTCCCATCTCTCCATCTTGCTGCCACCCCTGCCAGCTGTGCCAGTGACAGACCAAGCTGCACAAAGCTACTGGTTTCTCCGGTCTCCTCTCCTAGTAATAAAGCACAGCATGCAGAGAACCACTAGTTTCTCAGTGATATAAACCGCCAGCTTCATCCCATTAAAAACCAGCCAAAACCGAACAAGTGAATGCAGCCAATCAGGCCACTAGACCACAGCCGAAGGCACCAGGGAGGCAGACCCATCCGGCGCTTTGTCAGCTGCCCACATGAAGCCTCCGCGGCCTCCCCCGCCTGCCTACGGTGACAAAAGGTGCCGGCTCAAGGGCGCTGCTCTGCTGAGGACACGCTTCCACCGCTGCGACCCGCACACGTCTGCACACCCTTCGCCGCCCAGGAGTTTCACTCAGCACAGGCAGCCGACGCACCAGAGCGGCCTGCCCCTCCGCAGCCCCGTTCTCCTCGGGTTTCATTTAGCCCTTAGCGCCGTTTTGACTCCCGGCTCGCCCTCAGCCCCAGGGAGCTCTACCACAGCCCGCACCACCGAAGGGCCGGCAGGATAAAACCCAAATCCCACCCCGGGGACAGGCGGCGTCGGCACGTCCCCCGGCTGCACCGCGGACCCCCAGCTCACCACCCTCACGGCTCCGCTCAG